CAGAACTGTGTTATATACTGAAATACTATACCATTTAGCTACAGAGCAAGTGTCAGGTTAGCAAAATCAAATTCATGGCCTGAAGATTGTGCTCAAGCAGGAAACAGACTGTCGCCACTCTGTGTTGACCTTAGTGTCCACTTTTATATTTACATATGTTCTATCACTGATATTGAGCACTTTTACCTATAAATATAGCATACCTTAGCATACTTTTTATCACATCATATATATATATATATATAGTGAGAGAGAGAGAGAGAGAGAGAGAGAGAGAGAGAGAGAGAGAGAGAGAGAGATGGATGTTTATTACATAATTTTCAAATAAGTTGTTGTATATCCAAAACAAAATTGTGGATAAACTGTCCAAAGTTTAAGTTTATCTTTTTATCCTGTTTTTATATTTTTTATACTGAATGGCATTTCTCGTTCTCTCAGAGTTGATTTTTATGTTCACTTCATTGCATGCATTTATGAAAGGAGAATGTATTCTTGCAATCAGATAATTCAGTCAGTTGGAAGCTCACCTTTTTTTCTCTAGATCAGCCACTGACCCAAATAACAAGAATTCCATTCAAGGCATTATAGAAGATATTTTCTTTCTTTTTCTTTTACTTCAATCCGTCTTAGTCTTCATTATGTTATTGTATATTCCATTATCAAAGGATTAGTCAAGATTCACTCATCTTCTGCTTACAGACCTATTTAGTCATTTGGTTTTTGGTTTTTATTGTATCTTGATTGTATAACAATAACACTTGCTGAAATAATACAATGATATAAATACTTCATCTTTAAACTTTATGAAGGCAAAGGAATCAATTGTCCCAAAATGTATTAAGAACAACAAAGATAAAGATGATCATTTTTATAAGAGATGGAATAATGAAAACACTTTGTTCTTGATGTAACTTTGAGAAAGAGTCATTAACATTCAAAGTTTTGTTCAGAAAATTGAATCTCATGATATTATTAACACAACATTTCTGCAAATTTCTTCAGTTTTCATCAATCTATAAGAAAAGAAGAAAAACCTCATTTTTCTCAGGAGGGAAAAGGGTGATAGAAAAAATGAAGCGGTCACTAACACTTTCATTGTTACATTGTCATAGTATTATTGCCTGGCTGTGCTGGCATGTCTTTGACTAAAGTAGGAAAATATTTTGTCTAGATGCTGAGTATTTAGATGCTGATAACAATTTCTCTTGGGTCCTGCCATTTTGGTTTCAGTCAGATACTTTGCAGTACCAATGATGCTAAACAATGTGTGTAGCACATAATAAAAAGTCATCAAAGACAAGCTATATTGTACACTACTATATGTCTACATTAGTTTGAAAATAGCACCAAGTACTAGTTAATTTATAACACATACTAGGGACCAACATGTCAACAGTACACAATGTAATTCTGTCTTAAAAGAATATATATATATACATCAACAGCAGGCAGTTTGAATTTTGTAAAGATATATAAGTGTATCTTTAATATATACATTGACAACAGGAGGCAATGTAAATTTCCTAAAGATCTGTGGGCATACATATATATGCCCACAGATCATTAGGAAATTTACATTGCCTAAAACAGTGGAAAGGTTGATTTCAATTCATCTTAGCAGCACAATTCAAGACAGACATAACTATATTTCCATGTACCTATATTCATTTTAGTACATTAGATAATGTAACAATGATGAAGAATGTATTTGCTGAAAAGTAGCTATATAAGGTTGCCATATTTGCCAAACAGAACACTCTGATGAAATTAAAAATTCAAATTCAATCACAAATGATTTACAAAACATGACACTGATGAAATTTGAATTCAAATGAATTACCGAACAGGACACCATGATGAAATTTAAATGATTTCTAATGTGCATATATACATCAGTTAAAATATGAGTAAAACAGTATGACAGCATGGGGCAAACGTATATACTAAAAATATTATTAGAAAATCATTTGAATTTAAATTAGACCAATCTAATAATAATAACAAATAAAATTTGAGTGATCATATAAGATGAAAATAATTCTTTTGAATAATTATAAATGAAATAATAAAAATAAATCATCCAAAAATTCCAGAAATTACAAAATGGCCATACAGTTTATTGGCCAAAAGTTGTGTTAATAACAAAGTTGAAATAGAGAATTAAAAAAGAAAATTTCTGTTTCATGTTTGCATAGTTTGTATTTGATAACCTTCAAAACCCATCAGCATATAAGATGCCCTTTGCTATTTCAATTGAAAATATTGTAAAGAATATTGTTGTATGATATATCAAATGTTGCTATAACTTCATTAATGTTATTCACTTGACCAAATTCAAAAACAGTTTCTTTTCATGCTTCTATTACATATTTGGCATGAATGGGTTTTTTTCAACTAGATCTGACATAAAGGTGTAAATGTAGGGCATCCATTCAAATCCCAAATCAGTTATAATAACTTGCAAGACAAGCATAATAACAATTGCCCTATGGTGGTGATGACAATTTTAGTTACATTGATTTATTTAACACACTATCTGATTGACCATATATTTAGCATATATCTGATTTTCAGGTGATTAGATTAAAATGTGCCATCAGATTGTTATCAAATGACTACAAATAAAAAAAAAATTATTTCTTTTATTGGAAAAAATGCTATAGAAACATTAAAAAATGGCCAAGATGTTTTTTAATGCTATGAGTGTAAAAATAAAAGTGGGTCTTTTCCTTTTGCCTGACAAAAACAATACCATATTTAACGATGTATAATACACACTCTCTATTTCAGCAGGGAATATTAAGAAAAATATTGTTGGAGGCATGTTGATGGAACTTCATCTCTATTTGATCCAGTTCAATTCATGCATTTACAACAAATTTATGAATTTCTAATATATGAGTTTAATTAAAAAGCATCTTTGCTGTGTTTTACTGTTTCTATAGCATTTTTTTCAATAAAAGAATTTTTTTTTTTTGTGATCATTTGATAACAATCTGATGGCACATTCTAATATATGAGTGGATACACGGTCAAGTAATGGATAGCGGCTCAGATTGAGGAATCGGAGAGCTGAGTTTGAATTCCAGTCGAATCCATTACATTCACTTTTGTGCTAATACCCTTGGGAAAGGTATGAATCTTCTTGTTCCAGCTATGGGTAAATAGCAGAACAGACCAGGTTCTATGGCCTTGGATGGCAACTGGTCTGCCACAGAAAGAAATGGCAACCCACTACAGGAAAAAATCTGCCTCGTCAGTCATGTATCGCCTAAGCATGTATCACACATGATACATAACTGACTGAATATATGAGTAAAAAACAGTTCTTACATGTTATCAGGTGCAGTAATCCAAAGAAGGAAAGTTTATCAATATTTTATTTTTTTTAAAAATTGTGAGTATAAATGAAAAGGTAGGAAAAAAAAATATATATTTTTAATTTAACAGAATTTATTTCTTTTAAATTGATAATGTTTAGTTTTTTCTTCTATCATTTGTTAAATTATGAAGTCATAATAGATTATCCTTCTTTATACTTCAGGCATATTTTTTTCTGTGCCTTTGAGTTTTATTTTTCTGCAGATTATTTGCAACATTATCTTCATCTTTTTTTTTTTTTTACTTATTAATACATTTCAGCTGATATATTCCTTGGTCTTATTACACTGTCAAGGAATCTTACATGAAGTGTCTTTATTTAACTGCATGTTTTTAACTGAATGGAAGTCATGTTGTATTGTGAAAATGAAGACTTTTCTATTTCTTTTTCAAAGGATCTTGTTTATATTTCATACAAGCTGCTTTTGCATGAAACACAATCAGAAATTAAGCAGGCTTGTTATTATATATCTATTATTATTTTTGTTATTATATATTCATTTATTTTGTATTATTATTATTAATAATAATATTATTCATTGTTATTATCATTACTTATTTATTCATTATTATTATTATTATTATCATTCTTTGTAATGGTTATTTTGTTTATCTGAGTCTCTGATATATATGATAAATAGGCGAGTATTTTTATCTTTATTGTTTTTATCATATTTTTTATGAAGAGGTATTTTTACTATTCAATGATTTATTTAGACTAGCATTCTCATCTTAGTTACTTTTACCACTGTACTGTTAGAAATGTGACTAAAACAATAAAGATGAAGATGCTCATATGAAAGCAGTCTTTAAAACTGGGTGACCTGGCAAAAATAATCTTAATTGACCAAAACAAATTAGTCACTCTTTCTTTCTCTCATGGTGTGGCACCACTCCCATCTTTAATTATTTCGATCAAACACTGTGTTGGTGTTTGTATAAACAGGAGATTTTGAAGTTCATGCCTTCCTAAAGAATACAAGTGCAGAATAATATTATCACTCAATAATTAAAATTTGAACCTGTTTTGTCAATTCCATTATCTGATGATCATTTAAGTTAATAATAAAATCCTGTATGTGGTCAGTTCTCATGAAAAAATTCAGGTGGACTTTATTATTAGTAACCAGAATTTCTAAGATAAAATTTTTTTTACATTATTAACTTTTACATTCTACACCATTAAGAAAGCAGTAAGGATCAGAAATATAGTCATCTCCAATGAGATTTGAACTTGCGACCCATAATCTTTAGAACCTTTCAAATATGGATGATGCTATACCAATTTGGTTATGGAAACCAATCTGCAAGCAAAATTCAAATCTATTTATATGGCTACATCATTTTTCATCTGACCCTTTCTATACCATGTTATTTGTTTACAATTAATAGTAGTAGAAGTAATAGTTTGAAGTAGCCTGGATTTCATAGATGAAGAATTTTCATGGTGATTGCTTTCAAACAAGTTTATCTTCATCTTATTGTTGCATTTGTATTGTGTCTGCATTCCTGGTTTGTGGACAGCTTTTGTGTTGGACTTTAATAGGTCTTTGCTCCTTGTCTTCAGCATCTTACCATTCTTATATTTTCTCTTGCAGCTGGACAAATTTGTGACAGACATGTTGGACAATGGAGTGAAGAACTACCATGACAGCAGCACTTCCCAAGTCTTGATGGACAACGTACAGGAGGACGTAAGTTGACAAACACTTATTTTTATTTTACATGTATCTACATTGTCTGCTTGACTTTTTTTTTATTTAGATTCATGACTTATGAAATAATGACCTGACTTATATTTGTGGATGTGTTTTTTACCATAACATTCCAAAAATGGCACACCGTAGCAAGGTTTTTGTTAACACATTACCATTAAAAGGAATAAAGCAGTTTTCAATTCAATTTGCAACTTAATAATAGAGTGAGAGTCAACATTCATGCTTACCATGAATGGTACAATTTCTCAAGGGAGACAACTTCAGATGTATTAAATGCTAATATTTTTTCACTTTTCAACCATGACAGAGTTACAATGTGTCTACATGGTCTTGTGGGTGATTAATTATTTTCCACCCTACAACTGTTTTCCTAAAGATGAAAGGTTGCAAGACTCTCACTATTATATCCCTATTTCTATGACAAATGTTCTAATGAGCTACATTCTCTAGTTCCACTAATTCAAATCATTACAGCTAGAACCCTCCATGCCATGTACATAGGGTCAAATCATCCTCATTCTCTTTGTATTCCATTGGTAAGGAGGAAGCCCCATTCAGACAGCTTCTTCTCAAAAACCATCACTTTTTGGAAGAGTCTCCCAAGAGGCTGATTTCTTGATCACTACAATCATAACCTCTTCAAGTCTCAGGTAAACCATTATCTACATCCAACAATTTCATTCAGTGACTCTCTACCTTTAGTGGCTCTTAGGCCTTGTATTGGTTGGACAAAAGAATAAGCAAAATTATAGAATGTTCATTTATTTGCGAATAATTTTCTTTATTGTATTATAGTGAATTTCTGTATGTTTATTATAAAACAGCATATAACAATATTTTTGTGGACACAATATTGTTAAATTGTTTAACTTGAAGAAAATAATTTCCAGTCCAATTTGTAACTTAATGATAGCATGGAGTCTGCATCCCTGTTCACTCTAAATGATCAGATTTCTCGGGAGAGATAACTTCTTGAATATTAATTACTATTTATAGATTACTTTTCCTCACTTAACTGGCCTCTCAGCTTCAGTCACTTTCCTGCCACCATAATGTAGCTTCCTTGTGCCTTTTCTATAAATATTTTCAGAGTAATTGTTCTAACAAGATTTCTGATTTGTTACCTAGACTTTATGAATTTAAGTGCAGTACTCGATTGGCTGCAAGGTCTCATCATTTTACAGCTGAAATGGCTAGAATTACTATGTAAACAGTTTCTTCTCTTGCACCTCTCACTTTTGGAACTCTGTTCCAGCTTCTTGCTTTCTAGTCAACTTTGTTCTTCAAAAATTTCAAAACAATGTTAATCATTATCTTCTGTCTTCTTAATTCCTATCTTTTAATTGTTCACTCTCTTTAATAATGTTTTCTTTTTCTCATATTTTCTCACACTCAGTAACCCCTTGTGTCATTAGTGGCTTTATTACCTTGCTTGGGGTGAAATGATGAAAAAAAAATTATATATTTATTTGAAAATAATTTTTAATCATTGATCTAAGAAAACTGTTTTCTGAATGGCTTATGATGGTTTTCTATTTCCTTCTTTCTCTAGTTCAAGTGCTGTGGCTCGACAAGGGGTTTTGAAGATTACCAAAAAAGCAGTTACTTCCCCAAGTCTTGCTTGAAAGCTTACTACAATACTGTGAGTATTAAAACATTGATAGTTTTTTGTTTTTTTATAACATCATGCTGATGATACTGCACACAGGAAAGAAACTGCAGGTACTTCTAGACAAGGCAGCAAAGGAAAGCATGAAGAAAGGACTAACAATCAAGTGTAACAAGACAGAATGTCTGGTCATTAACAAGTGGAATAGCCTAGTATAAAGCTACAAGATGTTAAAATAAAGCAAGTACAAAACTACCTGGGAAGTATTTTAACAGACAATGAAAAATGTGATACAGATCCAAAGATACATGGGAATATCATAAAATGCTTTCCAAAAGCTAAGGAAAATTTTAAGAAACAAGAAAACTTCATTAGAAATAAAGAAGAGTGCACAACTGCTATATAATACCAGTCCTCCTCTATAGCAGTGAATGTTGCTGGACAATTTCTTGAAGAGAGAACTTGAGGCAATAGAAATGTGGTTCTACTGTAGGATGCTGAAAATACTATACACAGAACATGTGAGCAACAAGGAAGTTTTAAGGAAAATGATAATGACAAGGACACTTTTGCCTAGGATCAGAAAGAGACAATTGAAATTTCAAAGCTACGTAATGAGGAAAGATGGCTTTGAGAATATGTTTATTGATATATTTAATGCTATTTTTATTAATTGATATTTTTTGCTACTTTATCTGCTAAGTATTAAATTATGTTAATTACATATTGTCTCTTTTTTTGAAATGTACCCCAAGTTTTCATTTTGTCCCCCAAACACTACTGTGACTAATATTGGCTTTCTAGTGATGTTCTAGAGAATGACTATTATTCTATTCTTGGTCTGCACAAGTCAGCAGAAAATATTGGCACTGAAGATGTTAATATCTGTCAGACATTTCATTGTTCAGAGTTATCACAATTATATACACTTTACAGTCAAGGAAAGATTTCAGGATTTTTGCCTTCAACTCTCTTTTGCATTCACAAAATGTTTCCTCCATTTTGATTTTCTTACATCTTTTTCTCTTCTCTGATTGCAGCCTTGTAAAGATAAGCTGGTGAGGTACTTTACAGAATACATGATGATTATTGCTGGTGTGGCAATTGGTATAGCTATAGTGATGGTGAGTGTCTTTTGTCAAATGTTTTTGTTTTTTTTTACAATGACACTTTTAACTTTGTAAAGGAAGAAATGTCATTATTTGAGGTGTGTGAATATTTTTCAGTGAATTACAAAAGTAAAAATTTATCTCTTATTAAAATTCATCTTCTCCAAACTTCTCTGTTAATCTAAAATTAAAAAAAATAAAAATATTTCTAAGATGTATGCATTTTTCTCTGTTTGTAACCATCAAAGTTTCTCCTTGTTTATCTCAGTCTCTTTTTATTTATATATATATGTGTGTGTGTGTGTGTGTGTGTGTGTGTGTGTGACATCATATCATGAGTCATGTAACCAATTAGTGTTGTAAGAGTACCATGTGTACTGTAGCCTTAACAGTAGTGGTGTACCACAGTCAAGATACCTGATGGAATCTATTCTTCTTCAGGTTGTTTTTGAATTCAGTTTTCCTTCTCCTAAACTAGTTGCAACTTCAAAGCAAGAGAGCCCTGTTTGCCCTGCTACCTAACTCATAGCTGAGGGAGAAGAGAGAGATTCATAACTTTGCCAAGAATGTTTGAGCAAAATACAATGTAATATACTGAGAGGGGGGGGGGATAATTCAAATTTGGCTCACCAACTTCTCCCAAGTCAATAACATTACACTACCAACATTATCCTATATACGTATAGTGATAAAAAAAAGAAAAAGACTAAAACTCTGTGTGTGTGTGTGTGTGTGTGTGTGCGTGTGTGTGTAATATATATATATATATATATATATATATATATATATATTTAGTCTAGTCTTTTCTTTATTCATTTATCATGACATATTGTTTTAGCTTATTGGCCTTGTTTGACTACTGGTTATGACAGATTATTCATTATCTCACATAAACTACAACTAATGTATGCTCAGTATAAAGAAACACGATGTGCCTGAGCAGACGTCTTCCACAAGGATTAGATAACCAGTAAGGTAGACTCTGTAGTCTGCCAAGACTGACAAATACCTGCTACTACTATCTGTATCTTATTATACACTAAAAAAAAAAAATAAATTTAAAAATTAAAATTTCAAGTGTCCCCTTACAATTACATCAATGTAAACATTACTTTAGTTCGAAAGGACAAAATATGTGACATGAAAAATTGGTTTCCATCAGTCTATTTATTTATATCTCTCTTAATCTATTCATATCTATCTACCTGCCTATATCTATCTCTCTTAGTCTATTCATATCTATCTACCTGCCCATATCTATCTCTCTTAGTCTATTCATATCTATCTATCTATCTATCTATTTCAGTCTATTCATATCTATATATCTATCTTACTTTCTGATCTCTCACTACCATGGTATCTTCTTATCTGCATGTATATATTGGTTTGTTTCTATCTATCTCAGTGTATTTCTATCTATCTATCTATCTATCTATCTATCTATCTATCTGTGTGTGTGTGTGTGTGTGTGTGTGTGTGTGTGTGTGTGTGTGTGTGTGTGTGTGTGTTTATAAATAGAAAAATGTGAACATACTTTGTTCTTATCAGAAAATCAATTAAACATTCTCATATTAAAAAGTAAATGCAAGAAAAATCCTAGGAAGTAAAACATTCAATGTTTATGTTTAAACGATGCTTTATTTAAACCATTCAAAATATACAAAAAATGCTTCACAAAGTTTTCAATCTATCATAGCTTTTATGTCTGTACATATCTTAGTGTAATCATACACATATCTATATTTCTATTTATATCTTAGTCTATTCATATTTATTCATGTATTATTTCTTTTTTCTTTTGTATTTTCTTAGTTTTTCCTTCTAGTTGCCTTTTTGTTGTTTCTTTCTTTTTCAGTTTTTGGATCACACTGGTTCCTTTGTTTTTTCTTTCTTTCTTTCTTTCTCTCTTTCTTTCTCTCTTTCTTTCTCTCTTTCTTTCTCTCTTTTATTTTTGCTTTTTTCCTTCTTTTTTGTTTCCTTTTCTTATTTTTAGTCTTTTTTGTCTTTCTTATTCAATTTTTCAACTCTCTTTAGAGCCATTAATTAATTTCTTAAGTAAATAGCGCAGTTGTCATTCACAAATGAAAGAATGTTATTATTTGAATCTTACATTAACTAGTTTATCTTTTACACCTTGAATCACAAAAGCTTTTGTTTTGAAAAATTTGAAAGAAATGAATTCTATTCAATTTTCATTATCAATTTTTTGCTTTTTTTTTTCTCTATTTCCTGGTTCTCATTTTTTCATTCCTTTTACCTTTTTCCAGTCTTTATTCCTCTTTGTTTATTATTTTAAATATATAAATGTAAATATTCATACATAAAAGTACATATTCAACATATATTTATTACATTATAAAATATATTAGACTTATGCTGAGGACAGAACATATGTAGCTATAATCAATGTGCATATAGAAATCAAAATTGCATGGTGAATGGCAGTTTCATGCCTTCTGCAATCATCAGATAACCTGAGGATTACTTATGGTGTGAAGCCACCAGTCACTATGCAGTATCAGTTTCCATATCCACACTGCTTTTATTACTTTACTAAAATTTCATGAATGTGAAGGGTGATAGACATAATACAAACTATTTAGTAAAATAAGTATTATTTATGTATAGATTAACACTCGTGCAAAGGATCTATGTGTCACTCTCTTACTCACTGTCAAGGATCAGTATAGTATTTGTGTGCTCTATAAAAAGTGTTACACACAATAAGAAATACATACATACATACATACATAAGCAGGAAACAGACTGTTGCCACTTGGTGTTGACCTCAATGTCCACTTTTATATTCACATCCACTTTATCCCTAATATTGGGCACTTTTACCTATAAATATAGCATACATTAGAACTATATATATATATATATATATATATATATATATATATATATTTGCATTGCAAAATATGGAAAATATAAATATGAATTTATATTTACATATATATATAAACATATTTAGCAAAAATTATGGAAATATATATATATATATATATATATATATATATATATATATATATATATAGATAAATCCACATGATAACCAAAAGTGTTTGCAATTTCTCTCTACTTTTGAAAGTATACACTTTTCTCTCATTGGAACAACTATAACCACTTCCCTATATGTGTGTGTGTGTGTGTGTGTGTGTGTGTGTGTGTAAAGCAAATCCTAATGGAGTCTGCTACAGAGGCACACCAGAGAAAGAGAGCTCAATATCATATTAACTGGCAGAGCCTTAATATTTTTCAATAACTTCCTGGTGAATGGTGACCAACCATAGCTAAAAGTTTTATGTGAATTCACGCAATCATCAGCCCAAGGGAAATCCAAGGGTAGTTTGTATATTTGTATATACATACAGTGCACAGACCAACCAAAACTATATATATATATATATATATATATATATATATATATATATATATATATATATATATATATATATATATATATATATATACACACTGGCAAAAATAAGTGATGGTGTTGAATATAGAATAAAGGGTTTTAAAAGGTTCAAATCAATCAAACACCCCTTGCTAGGGGAAACGCTATTACATAAGCTGGAATGACCAATCAAAATGCAAGTATATGAGAATTCAAAAAACTTGACAACGAAGTTTAGTTATAATAATTAGTTAATGCTTTAATGTTAGGGTTAGACTAAAATAGAATTCATTCTAACTAATGGCCAATGGTTAATGTTTTATTCATTTCTGAATATGTTTCTAATAAAACAATATAAATTAGTTTTATTGTGTACACTTTATGCAGAATTTATTTCTCTTTTGAGTGATGGAAAAATTGTATATTTTTCTACAACTTGAAAAATTTTTAATGCTGGATTAATATACATTATACAAATTTGCCAGCAAAATAAGTTTAAGACAGCATATTCTTTATGCAAATTATTTGCTAAATCTGATTGTGTATGTATTGTCTTTTGCAAGATTTCACTCTCCTTTGCCCATATCATCACTTCAAATGTATCTAAGTTGTAATGGAGCTCAGAGCAACATTAAATTTTAATGTTGATTCCAACTTAATTTTTGGCCTTTCAATAAAAACAAAATAAATAACAAAACGTATTTTTTTCTCAGTTTCTTCTTTAAATAATTTTATAATTTTTTAAACTTAATACAGATTAAATTTAAAATTGGTAATTTTTAATTTTAAATTTTATAGTAAAATTTAATATTAATTAGTTAGAATGAATTCTATTTTAGTCTAACCCTAACATTAAAGCATTAACTAATTATTATAACTAAACTTCGTTGTCAAGTTTTTTGAATTCTCATATACTTGCATTTTGATTGGTCATTCCAGCTTATGTAATAGCGTTTCCCCTAGCAAGGGGTGTTTGATTGATTTGAACCTTTTAAAACCCTTTATTCTATATTCAACACCATCACTTGATAAGACACCAGAAGTGTTGAAACAAAATGGTTATTATATATATATATATATATATATATATATATATATTACTTCAAATGTTACTATAGTGGATATTCGTATTTGAAATGGATGCCACATTTTATTTTTACTTTAAACAGTGCATATGAAATCTACCAGTCTGCCTATTCAAGAAATCTTAATAAAGAAAATGGGCACTCTGGCAAGAATTGAACCTACAGCCTCCTCCATTGTAGAAGAAACCACCACTTAATCTGTTTGAGGACAATTTCTCTACATTCGCTTTCTGACCAGGAGACCTGGGTTTGCAACCACTAGGCAATGTGTCCATATCTCATGTATTATATAGTAATGATATTTTAATATTATATAACCACCATCTCATTTTGTTTTTTTGTTTTTTTTTCTTTAAGCATTTCACCCCAAACAAGGCGGGAAGCCACTAGCATGCAAGGGGTTACAAAGAGTTGGAGCGAGAGCAAATAGGAGTGATAGAGGAAAGGATGAAGAGAGGGATAGGGGATAGATCAAGGCATCTGGAGACATTGATTGACATTACATTTGAATAGTTGGAGATTATAGCTATCAGGGAAACAGGAAAAGGGGGAAAGGAGTTCCACAGGCGAGAGGTGCGAGACATGAATCTATTGGAGTAGAAGAGACAGCTACATGTATTATAGATATGAAGGCATTTTAATATGGTATAATCAAATGAAAATTTTTGCTTATTTTTTCTTCTTCTTTTGCAGATATTGGGAATGATATTCTCAATGATTCTTTGCTGTTCTATCCGAGGAGAACAGTAAAGAAATGGTAAGTATTAAAAGCTTTCATCTCATACATATTCTTTGGGTCTGTTCAGGTGGCAATTTTTTTTTTTTTTTTTTTTTGTTCTCTCAATGATGATTCTTACAAGAGTAAACAGTTGTCATTTACATAGATATCGAGTTCAGAACTGATGACATCGAGAAAGTTGTGAGTGAACAAATATATTTTTACTTACATTTAGACTTATTGTTATTACCACAAGTTTTTTGGCCATTTTACTATTTGGCCTCCTTCAGGTGTCTGTCAATCTATGTAACTTTCCATAGATTTTGAACTGAACTATATATACATTTTTTGTAGAATTTTTCTTTATCAGTACCAGCAAGCATAGTAATTGGAGGAATAAAGTAAGTATAGTTATGGTAACCGTCATAGTAAAATTAGCTGTTTCTGTACAGAAAACATTAGGCATGCATTGTCCAAACAATAAGTTGAAGTTCATAAAATCTTTTTAAAAACAGTTTTTTCAGGAAATTAAACTTCCCAAGTTCACTGTTAGAGCTCTTTCTACTATTGATAGGAGATTCATTAAGGGAGGCACGGTGGAGTAATTGGAAAATGATGCAGATTGAGGAATCGGAGAGCTGAGTTTGAATTCCAGTCAAATCCATTACATTCTCTTACGTGCTAATACTCTTGGGAAAGGTATGAACCCTCTTCTTGTTCCAGCTATGGGTAAATAGCAGTACAGAGCAGGTTCTATAGCCTTGGATGACAACTGGTCTACCCCAGAAAGAAATGGCAACCTACTGTGGGAAAAAATCTGCTTCGTCAGTCATGTATTGAAAGATGATCGCCTAAGTGTGTATTATGCATGGCATATCACTGAATGACTGAGTGTGGCAAGTTAACAGCTTATACCATTTTCTCTTCTAGTCAGCACATCCATTTTTGTTGTTACTGCTGGCAGAATTCTTCAACTGATATAATATTTATTTGGTAAAACCTTTAGTTTGTGATGATGTGGTGCTAGTCTATAGGAGCTGATGATGGGAGCATCTTCTTTAAGATTTAAAGGATTTATTTAGTTGAAGCCATTTTTTATCATTGATATGAGAAAACTGTTGTAGCTGATATTTTAGACCTTTCTGAATGAGTTGGATGTCATGCATGGCAGTCATATGATAGTCTTGTACCATGTTGGCGCTTTAATGGCTTCTTCTAGAGCAAGGGGTGTTAAATCTCTCCAGTTCATAAGGTGAAGGTTGTATTGATTTACATCATAAGGGACAGGTTGTATTGACTTACATCATACTGGTAACTGGGAAAAATCCCAAATGTGACATGAATCAATAAATCACATTAAAACCTGTTTTTCTTCTTCTTGCAGGACTCTTGTCCACTGAGCAACCACAGTGTGAATGCATCTGCAGACACCGTGCGCTGGTGCTGACATAATCTGCCATGTCCATTATCACTCTCACTACACCATTGCCGCCAGAACAGCAGCAGCAGCAACAGCAGCAGCAGAACCAGAATCACTAAAAAAAAAAAAATTTTTTTAATGAAGAAAAGATCTAACAAACAAACAAAAAAAAATGAGTCAACCCAATTAAAAAGAAAGAAAGGAAGGTTAAATAATACTGACAAGGATAAAAATTATCCTTATAAAATAATTGTTTTTAATTAAAAGATGACCTCATCTTTTGTGTTTGAATTCATTTAAACTTTTAGCTACATCAATGGTCTTTTCAAAGTTGCAATGAACAAATATTTAAAACAAACTATCTCCAGCTGTTTTTTTTTTTTTTAGAACTGGTAAAAATGATTTAACAAGAATAAAGTAAAAACCCAAACCAGTAAACAATTTCCATAGATTTGTTGATAAATTGTATCTATCTATAAAAGACAATGGTGTTTTATTTTGGAATCATTATGCTATTAATAATGCTACCAAGAAAGAAAGTATCTTCTGTTACCTAACTTTGGAACTAGTCTGTTTCCCTATGTATCCCTATATGTAAGTTATATAACATATACTATATAAGTATAATAATGAATATATTATATATATATAATTAATATATAATCATTTATATATATATATATATATATATATATATAAATATATATTATAAAAATACTAATTTAGATTATTCCAAATAATATATATTATAAAAAAATTACCTTTTTTTTTTATTTTTTTATTTAACAGCAAAAATACTATGAATGCTGCAAATTCTTAAATATAAAGACTTAATTTTTAAAAAAAGGATACAAACAAATGATTAAATTTTTTAAATAATTTTTTTTTATTTAGAAAAAAATAATTCTTTCTTTTTTTTCTAGATAAAAAAACATGTCTGACCTAAAACATTGAAGCCAAAAAAAGATCAGTAAACATAGAATAAAATAATTTATTTTGTGAGTCAAAAGATTTATTTTTCCTTCCTTTCTTTCTGAAAAATGTAAAGAAAAATAAAAGGAACAAAGAGAAAGAGATCCCAACTGATTCTGTTTATTAATATAGAGACCACAAAAAATCATGTAAAAATAAAAGAAAAATACTTAATAATGAAGACAAAAAGGATAATATCTTGTGTTGTGCTAAAAGTTCAAATATTAAAACTGTGACGAAAAAATTGAAAGAAAGAAAAAAGTTCAGTGAATAAGTTCTGTACTCTTAAAAATAATGTTGGTGTTGTTGTTGTTGTTGTTAACTTTGTTGTCGTCATTGGTTACTGGATATTTGTGGGGAAAATATCAAAAGGGTTGGGCAGGGGTTTGAAAAGAAATACTGGGTTTCAAAATTTAAAAAAAAAAAATGTTTAAAAGAAAAAGCCCCCATCCCTTAAAAAAGAATTTCCTTCTCTATTTCTTAATTCAGGGTAGTTTTTCATCTTTTGATTTTTTTTCTTTTCTTTTCTTTTTCTTGGTTTGTATCCATTATTTTTCTGATTTTGGTTCAAAAGTCTTAAAAAAAAAAAAAGGAAATGCTTCAAAAATTTTTTCTCCAAAGAAATGCAAAAATAAATACTTGCATTTTTTACTTTTTTTTTTTTTTTTTTCTTTTTTTTTGCCATGATTTGATTTTTGTCTCCTATAAATCTGAAAAGAATTGAGGGGTTCTGTCTTCATTTTCATCTCATCATTCGTCAAATTAAGTTCAATGTCTGCATTTTTCCCCCCTTCTGGTTTCTTGTTCTTTTTTTTGTCTTATTTTTTATTACACAAATAATTTCAGACATGACAGAAGTGTTAAAATTTGACATTAATCTTCATTTTTAAGATTAAATAAGGAATTAAAAATTGAAAAACATTTCTTGTCTCAGATTTTAACTAATCATTTCCATTAATTTTATCATAAAACTGATAAATTGTGTTTGTGTGCATTACAGTTTTCAAGTGTATATGTAAAAAGTATATATATATATATATATATATATATATATATATATATATTTATGCTTGTGAAAATATATTTATATATTTATAAAAACGTTTGTTATGATACTTTTAATGATACTATATTTAAAAAATAATGTTGATTATGATATATAAAACTATTGATTCTAAAACAAATATATATCTAATATATATATGTAATATGTAAGTTATATAGCATATATAGGTATAGTAATGTATATATTATATCTTATGGCAGTCATTTATATACAGTGCTTATAATATATATTTATATATATGTAATAAAGTACTAATAATGAGATTACTAACTTAGACAATTCATAATATATATATCTTAGAAAATTCATATATATATATATATATATATATATATATATATATATATATATATATATATTATAGTACAAATAACGAAATTAATAATTTAGAAAAATATATTTACTGTTATAATTAAAATGACTATATATTTATATTACTTATATTAATATATAAGATATATATTACTATAATGCAGTTGTCTTTTTTATCACTGTTGTCTTTAACCAACTGTTAATTATGAAGCCAGTTTTCAATCCTCAGTATTTATCTTCCTTACTGCTCTTTGCTGCCTGATATTAGCACACACACACAAAATTAGGTGTCAAGATAAATTTTTGTAACGAAAATGCAATTCTGACTATGAAAATCCAATATGCATATTGTAACTTAACTAATATTAGTCATATAAATTAAATAATAAAATTACTATCTGTATATTGACATTAGTTATAATGGTGTTAAAAATTATAAATATCATTTTATTATAATTGATGATGACAATGATGATGACAATATTTATACATGGTATGAAGCTATTTTTATTTCTCATCTACTCGTATAAAAAGGAAAAAGGCTTTTTCAAAAATCAGATTGGATGTTCCCAAAATTTTCAGTAATCACTGCCAATCTTATCTGCCATCGGAGAGAAGCAATTTTTTTTCTTTTAATTATGATTTTGTGACCTTCTGGGGAACTGACAAATGGATTCCAGTTTAGATTTTGCTGGATCAGAGGTTTTAGCTGAAGCTTAATGATTTTCTTCCAATTTGGTTAGGTGAACTTAAATCCTAAAATATATTTTACACACACACACACACACACACACACACACATATATAGCAACATATTCTATAATCTATATATATATTAATAATTAATATCATCAATAATTATATTCATTTTTTAATGTTTTGTCTTGATATTTATATCTTAAGCATCCTTTTCATCCTGCGTTCTTGCTTATCAAGTGTTAAGGCATTTTGAAAACAGTTTTAACTTCAGAATAAGTTTTCACAGGAGATTTAAAAGCAGTTTATAGATATTTTTATTGAAGATTTTATTTTACTTGCTAAAATCTAGGGTTACAATTAGTTAACAATAGCAGTAGGCTACATGTTCTCGATCTTTAATTTCAATATATACTATACCTTTGCTTACTACTTAAATTCAAATTGTTATTATTATTCGCATTGTCATCATCACTATGGCTCTTGTAAATCTGTCCATTATTTACAAACTAATTCAATTTTCTAAATCTTTTTCCTTCCATCTTTTTATCTATTTCATCTGCAGATTTATCGCTTAAAATATTTTCAAATTTCATTCTCAATGAATTCGATATTTGTCTCCCTTTGATTTTAGTTTTTATTTTTTTAAAGCTATTTATCATGATTTGTGTGGAAATAATTTTTTTTTCATCAAATGTATAACTGTATTTGATCAAAGTTTCTCAAGACCACCCCAAAAATAAACAAAAATTTAAAAACGAAAGGAAAAAAAAATCAAGTTTATCTTTTTATGTTTATGTTTGCTTTTGTGCCTTTTTTAAAACTCTCTTTCTCTTTCTTTTTATTTTTTAATTTTAATTTTTTTTGTTCTCTTGAACAAAACTAATCATTTTCGCTTTGAAAAAAAAAACAAAAAATTGAACAACATTATCATGAAACCATTTTGTAGCTACACTGTCCATTCCGTACCTGATTTCAATAAAGTCCAGGTCTTTTGTCCTTGGACAGCGACAGAGCCATCTTTAAGACACTCATAATTATTTTCAGGGCAAAGGATTAAATAAAATCAGCTTTTGGCATGAGAAGTTTCTATTTTGTATTGATTTTAATCTGACTGAAACCAGTAGCCATTTTTTAGTGTCTTCTTAACCCTCTCCTTTCAAATTCCTCTTGCATAATTCCTGCTCCAAACTTTACCTACAAGAACTTCAGAAAGAGGAAAATAAGATCACTAATGAAAGTTTGTTTACTTGAACCTTCACATTCATTCTCTGCTTTCTTGAGTTCACAATTTGACTGGTATAAATTCTATTCACCTCCAAGCATGCAAATCTTTCTCATGGTCGTACCAAACCTGAAACTTTTTCATGCAAAGAAATTAGATCCGTACCACAAACAAAGAGCTGTGGATAACTGGATCTCAAAATGTCAATGCAAATCACTTCCAAGCAGACACAAGTACTGTGTCAGTTGGAAATGAGCAGGAATCTTGCCAACTGAAAGCATTTAGACTGCTGTAATTTATTTTCAAAGCTTGGCCATGAGAATGAAAGAAATAAACTCTCAAGAATTACTCTCAGCTTTTTTTTTTTTTCCTTAAATTTCTTAATTGGTCATTTGGAAAATATTTTCTCAAAAAAAAAAATAACAAATAAAAAAAAAAATAATCACAAGATCTTGAAAATATAAGAATCCTATTTTTGACAGCAAAATTCTGTAGCTACATACCATCTTTACAAAATAAATTTGGTTCCTGGAAATGTTCTTCTTAAAACATTTTCTTAATTTCAGTGTTGCATGTGAATTGGTTTTTTGAATCTGAGGCTTGAAAAAAGAAATTATTAATTTGGGAAGATTTTTTGTTTCTGTAAACCATTTAAGGTTCTTTTTATTTCAGCATTTTTCTTATTTATTTTGTGAAATTAAATTTTGGG